TAGCTGTGGCAATGGTGTTACTTTAAACAAGCTCCACATTTCATTGTTTGGGGGAAAAAGTTAAGTAGACAAAATGGACAAATAATGATACTTCATCAGAAATTAATAGGCAATGATCTCAGGTGTGGGCAGATTTTTGTGAAATAGTATTAATTCGGTCCAAAACCGAAACCGGTCCGAACCGATCCGAATTTCGGTTGGGCCGAATATTCGGATGAAGGGAAAAAAATCTGGATCTGGATGAGAGTTTTGAGAATTCGAAAAATTCGGATTGGATGCGGATTGAGCTTAAAACCGATCTGAATCGAATATGCCCAGCCCTAATGACCTCCTCAGTTTGGCACAAAATTAAACTCAAACGAGCACTGCAATTTCTAGAGCATAGGTGAGAAAGCTTATATCTTCTAGTGTTGAGTAGAGGGCTGTATATAGGTCTCTGACCTAACATATTAATGAGAGTAACCCAAAGGTTAGCTCAGTTACACCCACTCTGCCCACTACATCATTAACTAGTCTGCCAATATCATGTTAAAAACACAATAATCTCTATGTAGCTAGCCCCCATTGCATCATCATAGTACATCAGCCCGCTTAGCCCCGATCCACGACCCGAACCCGAGTTCAAGTATGAGTCCAAGATTAAACTTATAGAGAATGATTAGATTAAATGAGCCTTGAACATGCGACCTATAATTTGTTCAAAAAAATCACTGGACTGCAGTGTGTTTTTGTTATAAAAATATATTCCGTAAGAGCTTTGCTACATGGACCCAAAATATAAGACCAGCAGGGAGGACATGTGAGGTGTCCTCCTCCTATTGCATAATGAGCTGGCCATCATTAATGATGGCCAACTCATTATGCAATAGGAGGGGGACACCTCACATGTCCCCTATGTTGGTCCCATATTTTGGGTCCTTAGGGAATTTTTCATTCCCTAATATATATGTAGTTTGAAGCTTAGTCCAAGTTTTGGAAAACTTCGTACAAAAACTATAACAAACACTATCTTAAGATGCATTCCTATGACATTGTTATTTAACTAAATATAATTTGTAAATTGTTTAATTATATAATTAAGGGTATCGAGGGTAGCATCAGATTACAATTTTTCAAAAACAATTAATAGTCCGAATATGAACACGGGACATCTAATTAATAATACAATTTGATGATGTCAATTCATTCGTTATAGTAGATAAAAATTCTTTTATAATTGCATCAAGCAAAAACCCTATAATAAAGACTCCATAATATTTGTAATATGACAAATAACTGGGTGGATCTTTTCCGGAAGAAATCATTTACAAATAAAAAATGAGTATGTATATAAACAATAATTGAAAAAATCAAGCTACTATGATGAGCAATAAGTTCAAGTACCACTAATTTAAATGGTTGAATATCAACGGTTTAAGTGCTGAGATACTCTTATTATCACCCAATTGCAGACATACCTCATTTAGTTCCATTTGTGCACAGAGACCCTCTGGGTGAAATTCTTTTTTTTTTTTAACTCTGGAAATTAAGGGTCAAGAAGTTATAGAGGAGGAGGCAGATAGATCCCTTGTGGATCTATTGGTGACGGTAGACAACAATTGCTTATATTCTTTTGGCTCTTCAAATATTTGAAAAACTTCACTAAGGGACTATATTCGCACTTGGGCAAATAATACAGCGGGTCTATCTGGCACAAACGAAACCGCATGGGGTCTATCTGCAACTGGATAATACTACGTGATGTCTATTCTCAGTTAGTCCAATACCAATAATTCAAACCGGATAATATACACATTCTAACGTTAATCTGAATCCAAAACCCAATTTCCATAGGAGCCACGTTAGATATCGTACGGATGGATTTGAAGTATTGTCCTTTTTCCTCCCCTTCGTATGGAGGGAATGCATATGATAATGATGCCCATAATCACATGGGAAGAAGAATAAGGCATTGGTTCTACTTATGAGGCTTGTCCCCCTCTCCCCTTGTTTGCTTAATATTCAAACTTACATGTTGGGGT